GATGTCAATTTATTTCACTTGGAAACGTTTTTGTCTATTTTTAAACAAGTTTTAAAGAGTGAAAACGACATTAAAAAATACACTGAAGATATCGAACTTCCAACTTCTTTGGATTTAGTAAAACCAAAAGAAGTTTTCGAAAAGGAAAAAGACGTCTTTTTAACATCAATTAACGTCGAAACTCAAACAACAATTGATGCCATTAAACCACCACAACAAGAAAAGTCTCAACAAAAAAACGTTGAACAAAAGTTGGATAAACTTCGATTGATCAACATTCCTATCTTGGAAAAAAATGATACAAATAAACAACACGACGAGAAGAAGCAAAGTTTTAGTATTAAACAGACGGGTAGACCAAGTGGTAATAAATTTGTAATTACGCATCAACAGTTCATGGCTAAAGCAAAACAACTATTTCCTAATTTTGAACAACAACAAGACGACTTTGAAACTTTGTTTTACTTTGGAACAAGTGACGACGAAGACACTATAACACTCGAAAAAAGAGACTTCATATTTAACATGATTTCAAAAAATTTGGACCCAAGAGGAATGATGCCAACTGTAGAAGACATGTGTGAAGTTGCTTATAAAATAGCGACTTTTGGAGGAAAGAAAGGACTTGATATTGAAGACTACATGAGGATTCGACAGAAAGTTACCGACGAAGAAATTACAAGAGAAGAGGCTTTGGAATCGTATGAATATTATGACATCTATAAAGACAATATACTCAATAATGTGGCGTTTGTTAATAGTGTCAATGAAGAACAGCCGATTGACGAGACTGACCCTCCTCTATTAGTTGATAGAAAGATGAAGAGATATGCGTATAAAGTGCTTAAGAGAGAAGACAAAGATCACTCAAATGTATTTGGGCGCGAGAAGTTCTTAAAGGCGATGAAAAGTGTGATTTTGGAGATGGAAAGTAACGTGACTGAAAATGATGAGAATTTACTATTGTTTATTTATAAATTGAAAGAACACAACAATGAGATTGATTCGGAAACATTTATGAATTTGGTTGTGACTTGCTTAATATGTTTTAATGATGTAATGGAGGAAGATACTTTAAATAATAAAGATATACTGGAATCTGTATTTCTTTGGTTTGTAGGCAAAGATAAAAAATTTATGTCATTAGAAAAACTCGACTTTGTTCTTGAAAAGCTTAATATGTCAATTAATAACGAAAATATTATTGAATTTTTAAAGCAAAGTGGTTGTGAAACTGGTATATTTGTTAACGATTTTATCGATTTGTTTGAATGGTTGGGAATTTAATATTTTTATGTTGTAAGTCAATGGAAATTTTATTTTTGTTTTAACAATAATTGATAATATAAAAATGTATTATTTTTCAAATATCGTTTTTTGTTTTTTCCCGTGTTTTTTATAACATGTTATAATATTGTTTGAACGCTTAAATCTGGCACAAATGAATTTAGGAAACCCGCATTAGTTTTTTCTTTTTTCTTTTATTTTACAATCTTTTACTAAAAATACGTTTTTGCTTATATTATATATATTCTGTTGTTTCAGAACAAAACTGTACCAATTATCATGTTCACACGTTGAAAGTTGCTTTTTGTTGTACTCTTGAAATGACACTAAAAAACGACGATAAATTTACACACGATGTTGAGATAACCGATTCTGTATTATCTACAATTATTAATTCCTATTGTGATAATTGATTATTTTTCTTAATGACAATTACTATTTTTTATTACCCAACTTTTTAGTAAATTGTGTTTTGCTTTTTACGACAAAAATGGGGGTTTCCAATATGCCAGATTTAAGCTTACAAACAATAATGTAAAGTTGTTTATGTAAATTATAATCAAATAATCAACTTTGAATATACAATTGACATGTTTATAATTGTAGAGTAAAGCAAATAAACATAACTTTATTTCTTATTTGGGTCTGTAAATAATTGCCGTATTATTTAAAATGTGTTTTTAATAAAATTAATTGAATTGTACTATCTAATGAACAAATCAAGGGAAACATCACGAACAATGATTTAAAAAAAACTGTTGTTATTTTGATCTTTTTAATTGAAATTAAATTTATTTTTAAATTGATTGGTCAAACTCAAAACATAATTTAAAAATTCAATTGTGAATAAGAAAGTAAATAAAATTAAATACTAACATTACTTTATATTCAATTTTGAGATGAAAGTTATTCATATTTAAATTTATTTTTATTTTGTAAGAATAAATAAGTAAATTTTATCATATAAAAGTTTAAATAATCATAAGTTATATCATAAAGTTGTAGTTAAATAATTATCCAAAACTATATTAATGTATATATATATATTTAATATAAACACCACCATAAATGAATTGTATTCATAGAGTGATGTTTTTTTAATTGTTATTAATAATAGATTACTACTTCTTAATATATAAAAATTTATTCAACCAAATAAAAACGAATATCTACAAATTCCAAACAATTGAACATAAGAAATGGTTGCTCAACTTGATAGTTACCACATGATGGTAGTTTCAAAATACTTTGATAACCTTCCTGATTTTATCCATATTGAATTTGTATGCAAAAAGTTCTATGGCAACATGTCACGTTTTCATTTCAATCCAATTCCACTGACGAAAACTACAATAAAATATTTTTCGCGTATTGAAACGCTTCACATTTGGAGCGAATATGATAACAACTTCACAAACATTCTGTCGAAATACAAGAACCCGGAATGTGATAACAGTAACTCTTTTTATCAAGTTGTCGTGTGGTTTCCTGTTGATTATAAAACAACTCAAAATCTGCAAGAAACTAATTTGGTGTTTAAAAATGTGAGTTACACAAAGAATGATCGAACACAATTTGGTAAAACTATTCCATCCTTAATTCGTTCTCTTGGCGACAATTGCTTCTCAATGTGTAATATAAAGTCCATTGATTTTCCAAGCAAATTAAGTTCAATTGGTGAAGACTGTTTTTTCACATGTGAACAATTGGAACACATCGAAATTCCAGTTTTTGTGAAAACAATTCCAAAACAATGTTTTATGTATTGCGATTCTTTAACTTCTTTTGTTATTTCGGATAACATCACATCACTTGGTATCAGCTGTTTGGCTGGTTGCGCGTCTTTAACTTCCCTCACAATTCCAACAAGTGTCGAATTTATAGGCGAAACCTGTTTTTGCAATTGCAGAAATTTAAAATCAATCGAAATGGCAAATAACACTAAAATTACTTCTTTGAACATCGAAACGTTTAAAAACTGTCGAGCACTCCTTTCTATTAAAGTGCCACAAAATGTGACTGCAATCAACTCTTCGTGTTTTGAAGGATGCGCTTCATTGACTTTAATTGATATTCCAGAGACATTAAAACGATTTGGGAATATGGTCTTTTATGGATGTTGTTGTCTCAAAACTATTCATTTACCGAAGAATTTAACACAACTTCCACTGCAATTTTTTAATTGTTGTTCGTCTTTATCTGCAGTAGAAATCCCACGTGAAATTGTGTGTTTTAATTCTTCATGTTTTTATGGGTGTTCATCACTTGTTAATGTTCGAATACCAACGAGTGTGACGCAACTGTGCGATTATTGTTTCGCTTTTTGCACGACATTAACATCAGTGGATATCCCACAAAGTGTTGTGTATGTAGGAAGAGGCTGTTTCTGTCAATGTCACAGTCTGACTTCTGTTAATCTCCCAAGCAAAGTATCTTCATTGGGAAACGAAACGTTTTGGATGTGTACTTCACTGAAACATATTGAACTCCCTAAACGTGTAGTGTACATCAACACTTTTTGTTTTAAAGAATGCAAGTCGTTGACGGCTATTACACTTCATGATAACATTAAAGCATTTGAAAATCAAAGTTTCATGGAATGTGTGGCACTCAGTAAAATAAGTCTTCCAGAAAGTGTCGAAGTTATTAAAAATTCTGCATTTGAAAGATGCGAATCGTTGCGCGAAATTATAATTCCAGAAAATGTGACAAGAATCGGAAATAGATGTTTTGCCGAGTGCTGTAAGTTAAGTGTCGTCAAAAGTGAAAACAGTGATCTTGTGGTTCCTGACGATTGTTTTAAAAATTGCACCGCTCTTGTGAAAACAAATTTGAAGAAAAAATAACAAAAAACTTTAATTTAAAAACTATTAAAATTATTTTATTTTTATTAATAAGGTATAATAAATTAAATGACACCAATTTAGTGATAAAATATGATATTGAAAATATCAATTTTATATTTTTTAACTTAAAATTATTAAAAAAAATTCTAAAAATCGTTTAGAATTTTGGATGTGTAATTTTTCCAAAGAACAACGGCAATTTATACCTTCCAAGAATAGCAAAATAGAAAGGTTTATCGATCACCACATCTCTTGGAGGTTCCATTGGTCCACAACACAAACACATCATTAAAGCAGTAGCAGCGGCAGCTTCAGTTCCATTTTCGTCGACTTTGACAACAGCTCTATGAATGGCGTCTGAAACACAGAAATGTCCACCTGTCGACATATTAGAAAAGTCAGCCATATCTCCAAACGCCAAGTTAATTCCAAGTGTTTTCAATTGACTGACCATATTAAAACTTGACTCTATCGAGAATTTTGGGAACGTCACATTTCGTTTCTCTGGGTATTGCTCTGCTGTCTTTTTCATGATCTCATACAATTCATTAATTCGTGTCTTTTCAAAATTTTCCAAGTCGTCGGGCATCACAAAGACAATTTGATTAATATTGTCTTGATACGTCAAAGAACACGAGGTGTACTCTTTATCAAACAAAGCTCGAGAATACACTTTTTGACTCAACATCGTGACTTTTTGGTCATTTCCAAAGACATGTTTGTCATTGAGTATATCAAACTTCTCTCTCCAAATACCTTTGAAGTAAATTGCGTTGACTAAGACAGCAACTGTAGTCGCATTTATAACACCTGAAGGAATTAAATCTTTAATCAAGTTTTGAGTCTTTTGAGCGACAAAGGCGTTGATTTCTTGTCGGGTGTTCTCAGCTTCTTTTTCAAAATCTGCTGTCGATATTTTGCAGGAGAGTTGTGTCATTTTCTCGGTATATTCATCAACAAAAGTAAAAAATTTACTACCCCAAATCGCATCAACAATTTCAACAGTGTTTTTCGAGTATTTTGGAGACACTAAATTTGAAAGAACGCCAACTAATTTGTCTGCGGGAATTGCTGAAAATCCAAAGACCTCAGATATCTCTTTTTGTGTTGCGCCTTGTGAACCCAAATAGAGAAGAGAAAAGGCTAAGAACATCGAATGGGTGGAATACACAATATCACTTTTGTCTCGAGATGTGGTGAACCAATCAAGACATAACTTCCCCAAAGCTTGTTGTAAGGGAGTAACAATTGAATAATCAAGAGTGTCTTCAGATGACATGGTATGTTTTTATTAGTTGGTTTTTATTATTTAATAATAAATATGTTTACAATTTGTAAGTTTTTTTATTTTGAGGTTAAGGAACTGAGTCATTTTATTAGTATATTAATAAATATAGTTTAGAATAATTAAAATTATATTATAAATATCAATACAAAATAAGTTTCAAGAAAAAGATGTAAAAAATATAAATTGTGATTTAAAAACTGTAAATTATTAAAAATATAGTTCAAATATTCTTATTAGTTTAATTAATAATATAAATAAAAAAATCTAATTTATTCAATATAATTTAGACATTAAATCATATTTTATGTTGAAAATTTACTAAATTCAGGATGGTCTGTTCTAGTTTATATAGTTATACAATTAAATGAACAATTTGGAACACAGTTATTTAAACATAGTAACAATTTTAATATTTATTCTTAAAAAAAAATTTGTATTTATTTTTATATTTAAATTATTTGTGTTTAAAAAATTGTTAAAAACGGAGATATTGTAAATATAAAGTATTTTGATAAGAGCTTAACATTACCCAATACAAAGATTTTAATTATAAACATAACCAAAAACAATAAAAAATATTAAACATATAAGGAAAATGCACAATCAAGTAATTCATTTCTAATTTCACAAGTATGTTCGTGCTCGGGTTGATCGGTTATGTTTTCAATTTTAATATAAATTAATTATTTTTAAACTTAAAAATACAACAATTAACTTTTTTAACACGACATTCAAAATTCATTAATTTTTAAACATTTCTTGTATGTATTGTTTATCAAATATAAACATAATGACATTATTAATATGGCAATCAAATAATTTTTATTAATTTCAAGTCTTCATTCAAATTTAAATTTAATTAAAATTCTTTGTTTAGAATTTTAGAATAAGAAAGCCGTAACGACTATAGCCAAAATTGCGAAAATGGCATGTGCTCCATTGCATTTTCCTCCTTCCAATATGTATTCAGCCATACATGCAGTGCATTCGTCTACCTTTTCACAAGTTGCGCACCCTTCAATGGTACATTTAATGCATTTATTTGTGGTTTTATCTGTCATATATCCTTCTGGACATTTCTCAACACACTTCAAAGTGTCAGCCACCAGATAAAAATTGGTCTTGCATTTAGTGCACTTGTCGTCTTTGTCACATACATCACAATTAGCAGTAGCACACGCTTCACATTTTTTGACTGGAGTTTCAACTGGTTTACCAGTGGTGCATGAATCAACACATGAAAGTTTGTCAGCAGCAATGTATTTGGTATCACATTTGGTGCATTGTTCAGCATTTTCAACTGTTTCACAAGTTTCACAGCTATCAATAGTGCATTCTTCACAAGTCATTGTAGCTTCATTTGCTTTGCCAGTTTTGCAAGTTGTCGCACATGTTCCATCAAGATTGATGTAATCAGTTGTTGCGGTGCATTTGGTGCATTTGGTTGTTATTGTGGTTCCAGCAACTTCCACACATGCAGCACACCCATTTCCACATACATTTGCAGTGGTATCACATGTATCTTTTACTGTTATTTTTCCAGTTGCACAATCATCACATTTATTGCCATTCATGTATTTGTACTTGGTTGTTGTATCACATTTGGTACATTTACCATTGGTATCTGTAGTGTCTTCGGCACATGTGGCACAATTATAATCTTTAAAACAGGCAGTACACACGTTATCTTTAGAAAGGTATCCTACAAAACCAGTGACACAAGCTGAACAGCCTTCTTTTGTACATTTTGTGCAATTGGCCGCACATGCAGTACATACATTATCATCAGAAAGGTATCCAACAAATTTGGAGTCACATTCTGAACAAACATTTGCCGCAGTACATTTTGTGCAGTTTTCTGCACATTTTGTGCACGAATCAACATCTTTATAATAACCATCAGTACAAGCAGTACAAACAGTGGAACTAGTGCAAGCCGAGCAGCCAGCTGCACATTCTGTGCAAGAACCACTTCCCAAATAATAACCAGCTGTGCATGAAAGACATGTTGTTGTATCAGCTTTGCACTTTGAACATCCTGTTGCAGAAGCACTACACTCCACTTCTGCTTTGCATGTTGTTCCATCCAAATAATATCCAGTACTACATGAACTACACGTAGAAGCATCACTACAAGCTGAACAACCGGCTACACATTCGGTGCATGAACCACTTTCCAAATAATACCCTCCTTCACATGTTTCACATTTGGTTTGATCATCTGTTTCGCAAGATGTGCACCCTACAACAGCTGGTGAACACTCTGCAGAATAAGCAGTAAACACTGTTAATGTTAAGAAAATGATTGTTTGCATTGAATGATTAGAAAGTTGATAAAAATGTTTTTATACCCAAAGTTGTTTATTTTTATTTGTTTGTTTGTCGTCTTTTTTTAAATAAATTGACTTTTTTATTGTCTGATACATTTGATTTGCCGACTACTCGTTTCAACTATTTTTTTAGTATCACATTGAAGTGATAATATGTTATTGAAAAAAACACAGAAGACAAAAACACATTATAATTTTTAATGTATTACATTTTAAATTAAATAATACTCAATATTTGTCTTATTAATAACACAACTCTTATATTGTCAAATTTATTCAACGGTGTAATATTATTAAAAAATATTTATTATTATTAAATAAAAATATCATTATTGAAAATTAAAGGAAAAAAATTAAAAACTACACACAAAAAATTATTAATATATTCAAAATAATAATATAAATATATTAATAACTGATTTCGGTTTTTGATATTCGTTTTATTGTCTATTCATTATTAAATTTGTTATTGTTGTTATGAATACATTACTATAATATACAGTTAAATGATGAAATTGACAACATAAACACTGTTAAAACACTGTCTGTTACATTCAAAGTTTGTATAAATAGGACTTTCGTATTGTATGATGTATTATTATTTACATATTACATATATAATTAATGGTGTTTTACAGTGTTACTTATTTTTGGTATTTTTTTCTAGTGATTGAAATTCGACTTTTTTGAAAAAAACAAATGTTTTTGTGTGTAGTTTTTCAATGTTACTAAAATAAAAGCATCGTTTTTCAAAAATAATAACATCGGTTAAAATTAGAAAAAGTTGCACATTAATTAGATGGATTTTTAGTTTAAAATATTGAATACTAAATACAAAAACTCTATATATTTAATACAATTATTTTATTTTATTCACAAAACAATTGTTTTATAAAATTTTGTCATTTTATATGTTTCGTAAAACAATTATTTTAACACTATAAAATACTCTGTAATAATATATAACCGAATTGATATTAAATTGTTTTTAAGTATTTTAAAACCCGTTTCAGAGAATACACTAAAGTCAGTAATTTATTTAAAATCGAAAATGTTTGAGTGCATTCAGTAATGTTCTTTTATTTTAAAATTACATGATTAATATACAATTGTTGTATAATATTAATTTTACTCTTATACTACAAAGATGACAAATTAATTATCATAAATTTTATATATAATTAATGTTTTTCTTCAATATTATTTTATTTTCATAATTATAAAACTTAAGTTTAGATATTAACATGACTTCAGAATCTCGACAAAAAGAGAAGTTGCGATGTATAAAAGAACGGACCTTACTGACTCACTTACAATGTGCACTTATTGCTTTCATATCAGCCAAGGCGGATATCAAGTTGTCACCACCAAAACGAGTAAGTCGTTTATCTCAAGACTTTCTTAATATTAGCTCAATCACATTTTTAACTGAAACCACTTTGTTCACTTTAAACTTGAAAGATTTTATTAAAAGAAGAAAGAAGGAAAAACTTATCCAAATGATGAAAGATGGAATTGATTATAGAATTATGGAAAGGAAAATACAAAATGAAAAGAAAAGAGAGATTCTACATGTATTAGAGGATATATTGTTTGAAGACGGTTTCGTTGTATATTACGAAAACGAGAATAGAGAGGGAATCAGAGGTAATGTTTTTATTCAAATGCCCGATAAGCAGATTGTTAATAAAGAAATGATTATCAAACTTGGTGAGTCAATAGAAAAGTACTGCTCTGAAAGATTTATCCAAAAAAAGAAACAAAATATATCAAAAGAAATGATTATATTAACAAAAGAAAGAGTACTGAATATTATCAATGAAACTGTTGTTAATAAGGTTTAATATATTATATTCGATATTATTTTTGATAAATCTAAACATTGTTTATTATTTTCCTTTTTGATATTGTGATAGTTACAATTTAAGTGATGTAATGAATAAATCATTTGATATTATTTTGTTGTTATTTAGAATAGTATTATTGTGAAATAATCATTTTATAGAATTAATAAAATTTTACAATATAAAGAGCACCAGAAAACTGTCGTACATCAGAAAATAGTCGTACACATTGTTTTAAGGTTTTTTCTGTATAAAGTCGGGTTTTTATTTTTTCAAAACCCAATTTTTTTCCTGATTGTTTAGTCAAATTTTATATGTGAAAAAATATACCCGATTTTTTGGGTTGTTTGATACTAAAAACACAAGTGTATGACAATTTTCTTGCTGTACGACTATTTTCTGTTGGTCTTTATATACAACTCCGATCAATAATAATATTATTATTATTTAAAAATAAAAAAGTTGATTTTTTTGTAAATCAACTTTTTTATTTTTAAAATCTTTTTTAATTAAATGACTCTTGTAAAACATTAAACTTAATAATACAGAACTGGTAAACATAAAATGTCTATTATTGTAAAAACATGTTTTTTAGGAGATCCACAAACTGGAAAAACTACGATTATTGAACAAACACAACATCGAGGACCTCTTGATGATGTTTATGTTGCTACTGTTGGTGTCGATTTTACAGTTTGATTTTCTAAATTCAATAAATTTTTAAAAAGAAAACCGCCATAATAATTCTATTGAAAATTTAACATATAGGTAAAGATGTATATAATTGACAGAGTAATGATAAAAGCACAATTTTGGGATCTTTGTTTGTTTTTATATAAAATTATTTATAATGAATTTACATTGGGTGTTTCTAAAATTATTATTGTTAAAACGTGGAATTATAATGTGCAAGTTTATAAGAGTCATTGATCATCTTGGTAATAAAATGGTGACATTGGTTATTAATAATGTAATTTATGAAATTTATTATTTAAATTAATATTATCATTTATATAATTAAAAAAAGTAATCTTATATTAAAAACCAATTTTATTCATTGTAATATCTTTATTCAATTATCATAATAAAATAAATTAAAAAATAACAAGGCAGCTGGTCAAGAACGATTCAGAAATATTTGTAATGCATATCTTAAGTTTGTTCTACTATTATAACGAACAATGATTCAAATTTGTTTTTATTGATATATTATTATATTATAAGTATTAATATTAAGACAATCTATCGTATTGTTTTATGTGTATTCAGTTAGAGATGAAGATACATTTAATAATCTTTCAAAGTTGATTCAATTTGGCAAAGATTACACCGAAAACACCGACAATTATATCAACGTGATTATTGGTAACTTTGCAGAAGATGACACCAAAAGAAAAGTCGAAAAAAGTCGCGCGGAGACATTTGCACGGGAAAACGGGTGTCACTATTTTGAAATTGGCAATTTTTTTAAACAGGATATAAACAACATAATAGTGTTTGCTTTGTGTGAAGCGTATAGCAAAGGATTTATTAAACGCATTGAACATGTAAATTTAGAATTAATACGACCAGAGGATAGACGATGTTTTATTCAGTAATTGATGTTTTTATTACAATTTGTCAAAATTTAAATCAAATTTTTAATTAACGATGAAAAAAACTAACTATACATTTAATTTTTTAATTATAATCAATGGTTTTTTCTTTTTTTTCGAAATATTTTTTTTTTATTTTTTAACCACATTATACATCCAAAAAAAAGCGAGAAATGTAGAAATTATAATTTATTCTCTGTCATATCTCCAAGTAATATCAACACAACCGGCAGACCATTTAATATATTTAACCACGGAAGTGTCATAGTTATAAGGCGATTAATAGGTCATACCGATCGATTTGAAAACCAAAGTAATTGACAACCAGCATTTCTTTGAGAAGGTCAAATGGCAAATTTTAATAAGTTTTTTACTATTTATTCATGGTTTTTAATTGGCGAAAACCAATAGTATATATTCTAATATTAAAAACAGATATAGTAAATTTCAATGTTGTATTTTTAAAAGATCGTTAATTAAAATTAAGACTTTACATACAATCAAAGGCGTCTATTTGTCGTAATTATAATTGTCAAAGTTGCTTAATTGTCGCACAACTGGCCAAACATTTGGGTGTACGACAATTAAATGTTTTGTTCTCGAACCTGTAACTTTTGTTGAATTAAAAACTAAATTTTTTATAAAAAATAAATTTCATTATTAAAAAGATTTTTTTTTACAAAATTCACTTATTTACGACAAATAGATACGTTTTTCTGCTAGATTCACAACAAATAGACGCCTTTGAGTGTATATTTAATATATAAAACGTTAAAATGTTCAACTTTTAATTAAAAATTGAATTTGGTTTCAATTAAACTATTAAAAATTTATTCACTTAATATGTACTCATTGTAAACTTCATTTAATTTCAAAATGAACACAGAACAAGCCATAAATAGATAAGACCCTTGACTACAACACTCTGGGCGTTGTCTTGTGTATTAATACCAATATTTTCATAAAATATTTCCTCCCAGCAGTTATATTTATATATTTCACCTTCTTTTTTCATTTTAAAATCGTTGTTATCTACATCATAAAACATGGGATCTTGAGTTGAGTTGGTGTTCATCTCCCACCTTTTCATATACTTGTCGCAATGTTCTTCGAAAGCATAATCCCTTTTGTGGTTATAAAACACGTTACAGTATATTTCACTATTTTCCATACACAACCAATGAACATTTTCTTCTTTCATTAACTCTTCTGACGTTTTTGGTAAAAGCGCCCATTCGGGAAATTGGTCTTTCCACGGAGAAATGTATCTATCCACACCACTGTGCACCATAGTATCAAGTAAATTGTAAAATGCATTTGGAGTTGTATGATACCTTCTCGGTCCTCTGGAATCACCAGAATAACCAATATCACATTTATAAAAAATATTATTGTATATAACATCCGACCTCCCAGAGCCGTGAACAATACAATAGCCGACAAAATTAGAAACAACATTTTGGTAGACTGTTTGTTTCGAGAGGTTGTCGTCCAAGTAAATTCCAATAACGTAAGATAGTGGCTGGCCAAATCCAGTTGAATCGTGGAAGAAGTTACATTTGATAACATTACCAGAATATTCCCAATGTGCTCCTGAATATAATGCACCACAGTCTAAGGCTCGAGTGCAAACGTTTCTAGTTTCATTGTATGAGATCTCCAAATATGCACCATTGTGTGAATAACCCAAGTGGGGATTGTTTTCCACGTAATTATGCTTCATGTAATTACCCACAAGACCAATATTAAAGGCAGAGACAAAAGTGAACAATACTTGTGATGTCGTGTTTGCATAGTTATGTGTCAGATAGCATTCTCCTCTATATAATGAAGTCAAATTACCTTATTGTTAATTTAATTATAATTAATACCATCATAATAATAAAATAAAAAGATACCTATTATTATTTTTAATAAATTGTACTCCGATTTTTTATTATAATTTTCATATTAATTGTTATTAATTGTTATATAACTTCAATATTATGAAACTAATAACAACAAATCACATCTCATAAAAACACCTTCCGCTCCAATATCATAAAAAGTGTTGTTAGTGATCGTCGAATGGTTACCTGATAAATAAATACCTTTCAACCCCGAGTGTCTAAAAATACAATTTTTGATGAGTATATCACGTGATAAATTGATGTTAATCATGTCTTTTCGTGTATATTCAAATATAATATTTTGAATAGTTAAACCATTAAATGTGTTGACATTAATTAACAATGAAGTGCTTTGTGATATCCACACTTTATCAACTGTAGTAGGTAAGTAGATATACAATTTCTTTTCTGTATAATCGATATAATACTCACCCTCTTCATCCAACTCTTCTATCAAGTTATAAATATAGAAAGGCATGCCACTATTAATTCCCTTGTCATTTGCATCACCCATGTTTCTATCAATAGTTACCGTTCTATTGTTCTTATCGATATTCCCTTTAACTGCTTGGTCTTGTGAAAATATGAGCCAATACCCTCTCATCCACACCGAGTCGTATTTTGCATATTCATCCAATTTATCATTTGCATAATAAAATGTTTTCCCCATCTTTTCTGATGCAAATGCAGTCCACATATTCCCTCTGTATATATAATTGGGTTGCTGTAAAACAGGATTCCCCTTGGCTCCAGACTCTTGAACAGCAATGACTTCTCCCGCAATTGCACTTCGCTTGACTGTGAAATAAGCCCCGTCACTCTGTGTTGGGACACCACAATCTGATCGAGTTGACAATGTCCAGTAATTGGAATCGTTTTTATAAAGATAATAATACTTCCCATCCACACTCTTTTCACTCTTAAAGGTTGTCTCATTGCCACACAAAACCTCTTTTCTTGGAATATAATAACCAGTGACATTCGGTGTAAGTTGAACGGATGTGTCTGATGGTGGTAAAATGTATATTCTCTCGGTTTGATGTGAAGTGTCTGTGTACTCGTAATTTGGGTACCGAGCAACACGAAAACGCTTGTCGTCGACATAGATCTCAGAATTTGAATCTGCATCATACACACCCAAGTCGATTTGGTCGTTCAATTTATCCAAATCACACACTTTGATGTTTTTCCTTTTTAAAGTCTGATTTTTTTCGTATTGTACTTTGTCGGTTTCCGAGTTCAAAGAACGAAATGAAGATATTGGTATTTTGACTCCACCTGTAATAACTGGCGGGTCTTCATTTGGATATTTTGTCAAAGTGATAGGGCGTGGTATTATACTATTTTTAAATGTCCATGTTGTGAATTTAAGTGAATTGTTAATTAGTGGATAATACCCAGATTTTATATAAATGGTCACGGGTTCTATTACATTACTTGATGTTATTGATGACATTGCTTTATTTAAAGATTCAAAGGGATAGACTCTAGAATCTCCTAAGTTCAAATCACTACCCATTGTGTTGTCTACATATATATCTCTTGAAAGCGTTACTGTTATGATCAAAATAATTAATACACTTTTTAAATTAAGAACAACTTGAGGCATTGTTGTTTTTAATGTATTATGATATTAATATTAGTTGATAATTATATATAGAAGTTTTCGTTTTTTCTTTCGAAAAAAAAACTGTTTTGGTTATTACTCAAATAAAACATTTATTATTTATTGTAACTTTTTTTGTTAAATTCCAACACAAAGTTTTTAAAATAGTTATACTATAATTAATTTATATTGAATACTAACGATAAGTAAATAAACAATCAATAATAAAAATGTATGTTTGGCTTTTTTCTTCGAAATTAAACAAAAAAATGGTGTGGAAACATTATTTATTCTATAAACAATATTTATTTTTTTGGTCATTTTTAGTTGAAAATGTTCCCAACTTACAAAAAAATAAGTACAAAAAATAATATGATTAATATAACTATTTAGAAACTAAATAACAAAGACATAACGAATAACATAAATAAGGTTAAACCTATTTGACCAATCATTTTGAACATCCGAAAGAGGATAAATCCAATTGAATTGGTAATAATATTGAACAAAATAACGGGAAAATATTGTTAACAAACTAAGAGGAAAGTTTATCAACCTTTTAAAAAAACAATGAGTCGATAAATGAACTTTTTAAAACTCCATTATTCTTATTCTTCGACTCTTATAGCTCATTTTATTTTATATTTTCAGTCATAGTTGTTTGATTATAAATACGAATTGTATTTAAATTAAATATAATTTATAGTCATATTAAATCGTTTAATATGTGTTCGTTAACACGTTTTTAAACAAACCGACATGGTTTTGTTTATTTAGTGTACCAAATTAATCGTTTTATTTGTTGATGTAAAAAAGCATCGTTTCTTTGTTTTTAGGGTGAATCGTCGACAATCAAATTTATTCTTTTTTTTCTGTTTTGAATATAATTTTTGAGATGTAAAAAAATAATAAATCATAATCAAAAATGAAGTTAACAAAATAAATAACGTTTACAGAATGACTTTTGTATTAAATATTTCCAAAAAATATATTTTATTTTTAGTAAAAAAACTGATAATTTAGAATATATACACTATATGGTAGATTGTAAAAATTAAATGCATAAAACCATCCATTTATACACTTATTAGTTAACTAACTTATACATTAAATTAACTAAATTATAAAAAAAAAGTTAAAACCTAACATATATTTTAAAATTTTATTGTGAATTATTTGCCGTTTTAATCTGATTTAGTCTTTGCAACATAACGTCTTTTTCTTCAAAAATTTCGACTTCTTCGCAATCATCTTGTTTAATGTTTTGTGATGTTTTTGACACGACTAAACACCTTTTACAATTATGTAAAATGATGTGCTCAGTCTTTTTACTAAACGACACAACTAAATTTTGACAGTTTTCAAATTGAGCAATTATGGAATTCACATTCATTTGGTAAGGCACATTACTCACTTTTTTAAAAACCAAATTATCAACACAATTCCGTTCGAACGAATCTATCGGTTGTGTGTTGTTAAAACACAACTCCGAAATATTCCCACTTGTTGCTAATATTGCAGTTGTTATTTTGACAGTAGAATGTTCGAAGTTGACTTTATCTATTTTCCATTTATCATTACAAAATTTGAGACAACCATTTGATTCGACAATGTTGACCACACGCGTGTAACTTCCCAAAACTATTTTAAAATTGTCACATTGTTTGATGTGAAGTTCAACGAAATTGAGTATCCCTTGCTTGAACCACATTTCCATATCTCCTATAAATATGCATTTTTCCAATTCAATAACACCAAAACTTTTGTTTGATAAATCAAGAAAATTCCCCCAAAAATTTACAATTTTCAGATTTGGGACACAGTCAATTTGTTGATCTATTTTCAAAAAGTTACAAAAACAATTTTTAACAACACAATTTCTTTTATAAACAACAACATTTTCAATTGTGTTGTTGCACGTTAACACACCAATCATTGTTTGTTTTGGTGTTTCTGAGTTTTCCACATTCTCATTAAAAATATTTCTTGGTTTTTGTTTTTCATCATTTGTCGCATCAAATCCAAATATATCGTGTTGTATATTATACACATGTATGGATGGAAATATATTTTTAAAAATAGAATTAAATTTCACTGTTTTTTGATCTTTAATTAAATTTTTCTGTAATTTAATATACTTTTCTTTATTTTGTTCATATTCGTCTTGGTTACAAAATTCAATAATATCATTTTCATTGTTTTTAAAAGGACATATGATGTGCTTTGAATATTCAAAGTTTTGTGGAAACGTGTATGTTGAGTCAATAAATTCAACTTTTTCGAGTGTATCGAAACACCCTTTAAATTTGATATCATTCGAAGAAATAATTGTCAAAAACTTCACTTTGGGATTGGCAAATTTGAATTCACAGTTACAACAAAACTCAATTTTTATGTTTTCGCACATATCAAATATTTTCGAAAATATCAAATTTTTCATATTAAAGAGTGACACACTTATTGTATGTAAATAATCGACATCCACCATTTCACTGAGTGTTTCTAAACACATTTCTTTCACTGACACTTTTAGTGATTCATTAAGACTTGATTTTGAAAAGATTAATTTATCTATTTTTGTATTTATTGGAATGACAACGTTTGAGCATTCATATAATTTGAGCAATTTTATACAATTTGTATCAGATGTGATTTTTGTTTGAGAGCAATTGATTAAAGTTACATTCAAGTTGTTATTTTTAATATTCAAAAAATTGAATATGAACCACTCGGTTTTTTCAAAAGAAAAGGTGTCACATAGTTCACAGTCGATATTTAAAACACAATCTGTACAATTCATTATTGTAATATTTTTTGCACATTCTCTGTTAATAAACAACTTCGCGTTTTTCATGTTATTTATTTTAATTATTTTGAGTTTTTCCAATTTCTCGAGGTTAAAATTGTCAATTTGAAATAAATGCAACTCTTCTACATTTACAAATGGAAAGTGTTTGTCATTTTTCAACAAACATTTTGTGTCATCCTGTTCATTGCTTTTTATATAAACATTTGAGTTGTACAAAACAACAGTTTTAACGGTCTCAATATTATGTGCAATTTCCGCTTCAATACCATCAGCTTCAAACTTTTCAATATTCAACGACATCGGTAATATAAAATGACTCATTTTTTGGTTTTTTCGATGGTATGGAAATTTAAAAAAACTTTTTTTCAATACAGAAAGTGATTTGACGCATTCGGGCAAGTTAATACTACTTAAGTCGCAAGCATTTCCTTCGAAGATAACTTTTGTTACCAAATTATTTTTGATAATTGTTTTAATTTTTTGGACATTAGAAATGTCATTTATTTTATTAACAGTGAATGTTATATTGTTGTTTATGTTATACGGAATCACAATGTCTTCAAATTGAACCTTATATGAATTGGTGTAATTTTTACAATTTTTCATCAAACGGACACATTCAAACGACGTCTTGTTATTCGTCCAGTCGATAATGATTTGTGTTGAATACTTCACCGGCAATGTGTTGATTCTTTCATAAATACTTTGTTCTGTTTCTTTTTCGATTGTTTGATGCGCTGTTGTAAAAATTGCCATATCAAAATTGATAAATACTTTCTTTGGAAATTGTTTGTGAAATTTATCAGAATTTTTGTATTTCTCGAAATAGTCCACAAAATCGACAAATAATATCATTGGCATTGAAATATTATGACAAAGAGATTCGATGATCAATGAATACAATTTTTGTGTGTTTTTTATGTTTTCTCTGTAAACGTTTTTAATTGTGATATTTGTCATTTTTTCAAAAATTTCGATTGTCATATCCTCAATTTGTTTTAATGAGCAGTTTGTAGCATAATTTCTAATTAAAATTGGTTCTGAAAAAAGATCAAAAGGAATTTGCAGTGAATTGCAGTTTAAAGTGTCTGGATGAAACATTTTGTAAAAGGACTCTATTTCAGGTATGGTTAAAAACCACGGATTCACTTTAAGTGAAGACACTGCCATAAATGTGTGGTGATTCACTTGTATGAAAGTAATTACATCCACAAGTGTTGGAAGGTGAAGCGACACTTTCATCAAATATATCATTTCGAGGTGTGACATCGCTTTGTTTTTTCTTTTAGTTATTTAGTTGGTGTATTTAAATGATTTAACAATGAAGTTTTATTTATAAATGATTATTGAAATGATCTATTTGTTGTTTGTTTTTATCCATTTTTTGATAAATTTACACTTCTAAATTATTATTTACTTTTATAAATAAACTCATATCTTAACCTTACGAAGTGAAAACTAATAATATATATCCTTGATTTTTTTACTTAAATTAAGTCACTTTTTTTATTTTTGTATTTGAACTAAAAAGATCTTAAATTAAGAACGGCGTGTCACAAACCAATTTAAATAATGAAAAATTGATAAAAATCGCAGCGCTCTCATGAAAATTTATGTGTATGTCTCGTAACAGCAAGTATTGTCAATTTTGAACACATGGAAAATAGGAAACAATGGTTTAAAGACCATTAGTTTGCGCGAAAACTAATCGATTTCGTGTTTTGAATTTGTTTTTGATTGTTCTAAAAATAAATTATGATCTAGATAAATCTTATCCAGATTTCACCTTCCCACAAAAAAGTTGATTCAGTTGACTTGCTAAGGTTAAATATTTCATTTACACGTTGAAGTTTATTGTATGTTTGTTTCCACCAATTTTTCCCAATAAAACACAACAAACAAATTTGCTAAACTTCAAAAACATTTTTAAATAAAAATTATATTGAATAATTTTTAAAAGTCAAAATAGTATTTATTGATCTAGTCTTAAATTTAAAAGATAACTCCACTGATAATAAAAAACTAAAAGTTTATACAAAATAAATTCGGAATAACAATAATTCGAATATCTTAGTGAATTTTGTTATTATTTGAATATTAATTTAACTAAAATCACAAAAAAAATCCTCCTAAAAGCTCAAATGAATTGTTTTTTCTTTTTACATGCTGCAAAAAATAAAACAATAACTTTTTTATATTTTTCATATAATTTATAATTTAATTTATTATTTATAAACAATTTTTTATATGTTTTTAAAATAAAAACAAAGTTTATTTATGAGATTTATTTTTTGGCACAACAATCAATACGGATAATATAATATATAAATATAAATATATATTGTTATTAAATCAGTTAAATTAAATTTAAAAAGTATTTTACACAACAAAAACTTCAGTGAGTAAAATATATTTGTTGTTAATAATTAATTTTTAATTTGATGAGAATAGTTAGAATTATCTACCTTTAAATTGTTAATTGACATCGACATTTTATTTAATACAATAAGTGCGTTTTAAAAACACCTAATATTTTTATAATAAATCAAATTAATTAATAAATATGATTATTTATTATAAGACTTAAAATATCCTAAAAGTTTATCATATTCATTATGCATATTCATTAGCTTCTATTATCAAATTGTTGGTTTGTAAATAAAAATACTTCCGTTTGTAAACTATATATTATGTTATTAAAAATTAAATCAGTATCGACATAACTAATTCTAAAAATCTTTACCATATAAACTGTATATAAAGAGCACCAGAAAACTGTCGTACATCAGAAAATAGTCGTACACATTGTTTTAAGGTTTTTTCTGTATAAAGTCGGGTTTTTATTTTTTCAAAACCCAATTTTTTTCCTGATTGTTTAATCGAATTTTATATGTGAAAAAATATTCCCGATTTTTTAGTTTGTTTGATACTAAAAACACAAGTGTATGACAATTTTCTTGCTGTACGACTATTTTCTGTTGGTCCTTACGTGTTCAGCTTTTTCTGTTATAAATGGTAAATTCTATTGAATCATTCGTTATAATTTGATTTTAATATTTTTAAAAAATAAAATAAGAGTTGAAAATTGTAGCTGTATTTTATCCCCTTTTAAGCACAAGTAATTTCAAACGTTTCATTCTTTTACAAATCAAACCGTAGTTTTTTTTACCTTCTAATAATTGGGTTTTTTATTGTCAAACTCGAAAAAAAACAAAGTCACCTAAACATGTTATTAAACATAAGTTATACTATTTTTATTATCAATTTTATTAATTAAATAAATACTTTATTTAAATTAAAATAATTATGTATAGATTTTAAAAATAATTGAAGTTAAATGAAAAAATCAATAATTTCTTTATATTGTGTGAATATTTTTTGTATATTCTGTTTAAATATAATATAATTATTATTATAATATATTTTAGTTTCTAATTAATATTTTTTAAGTTTAAGTTTCAGTCAAAAAATATACAATTTTAAAACTATTTTAAGATTCTTTTTATATGGTAAATAAACTATTTTTTTTAAATAAAAAATATCTCTTTTCACTTTAAATATTTCTGTATTATTACCCTGTGCAAATTATACAAGTTAATATAAAAAAATTGTATATCAAATAGTTAAACTATAAAATAAATTATTATAAAAAATAGTTAATAATTTCTAAAAGTTATTTGAATATTTTTATAGGTATCAATTCATATAAGACAAAACAAAAATGTTTTTTTATTTTGTAAATATTTCTATCATGTTTTATTAATTAATGGGGATATGTTCGATATTAAATTTAATTATTAAAAACAAATAGGTTCGATAGGACAAATTCTTAAATGAATCGGATAGATACAACTTTGTTATATTAAATGAACCATGACATATTTCGATATATTTTAGTGATAGCCATTTATCATTGTTGTTAATTGTGAATAATTAATATAATTAAAATGAAACCAAAATTTTGTAATTTTTTAATAAAACATTTATAATTCAAATGGTATAAATCTTGTTAATTATTATTATACATAAACATGTTTTAAATTTAAAAATAGAAAGGCTTATTTTTACACATTCTATTTATATTTAATGACAATTTTAGCACTTTCTTTATTTAATAAAATCGATATTAATACTAAAAGTAGTCATTTTATTTAAAAATGATATACACATATAATTATTTAAACAATTTCATCTTAGAAAAGATATAATGAATATTGTTGCTTGTGTTCTGATATTAAGCGCATTTGTTCAACCAACATTGAGTTTTACTAGTGAATATGATTCTTATGTGGTCCCAAACCCGCCATATCCAAATGTATACACTGCAAATAATGAAAATTATGTCAGAGAAAAATGTGTAACTTGCTGTCGAGTACTTTTTGCTTCCGAATACAATTATGTAGATGATAGGAAATTCATTGATGATGATGATAGAAAAGGAATAACTCGCTATGTAATGGACACCGAATTTGACGACAAAAGGTCAGTACGACAATATGAAGATAGTTGGGAACAAAACATATTGATGAGACCTTTAAAACAAGGCAATGAACTCCAATACTGGGAATTTGCACCATACAAAATGTATATTTCCTTTGCCATTCCAAGAAGAGTTCATGATATTAGACAAGGCGCTGAGCCTGGAAACACTTTAATTATCTGGGATAAAAAGCCTCCTTTGGATATCGAAACAAAAAACCAGAGATTTGTGTATGTCCATCCATATGATGGTTATCCTTCCACCGAATTTTACTCAATTTACAAACAACACTTTTACATACCATTCCAGACTTCTTACAAACTCTGTTACCAAACAAGAATTGAAGGAGAAAAAAGATCGACTTGGGCTGGAAATAAAAAATTGGTTGTTATAGGAAAAAGTTTCCAAATTAAAGCAAATTATTGCGATCCATACGAACCAAGACAAATGTTTGTGCCGGTTTTTGCTTAATTCAATTCAATTGAAAGTTTTTTGGGAATTGGTTATTTGACTTTTTTGTTTGAAACTTTTAGGTGTGTTTTTATATTTAGATTACAAATTAAATAATGATTATAAAAAAATTGAAAATCGTGGTTTGATAACTTAATTTCATATTAATTATAAACAATAAAACAAATAAAAAATGTCATTCATTTTATTTAAAAAATTAGATTGAAATAAACATATAAATTTAAAATGTGTTAATATTTACAACAATAATATATGTCAAATCAAACCCCAATTTAAAATCTTAATATAAAAAAATATTAATTTTGTTTTTTAAACCATTTGTTGGTTTAAAGAAAGTTTATACCTATTAGCAAGTGACTTTAATATAAAAACGTTTTTTTTGTTTTTATTAACAATATATAAATTGAATAATAAAGAAAACTTAAAATACTAATATCATAACGTGTTAAACAATTGTTGCATTGAGTCAACACTTGTGTTAATTGTAGGTCTGTTTTCCTGTTTTGGATCCCACATTTTATTAATGATATCATAAGCATCTTGGTTCATGTTTTCCAGACATTGTCTTCTTTTTCCTTCGGATACAAAATCAGCTATTGACCACGCATGTTTAAACATTGATGAAGGATATATTTCGCCCCATACAAGTGTCTCATAAAAAGTCACTGCAAGAGAGAAAACATCCGCCGATTTTTTGTAATGTTGTTTATTCAAAATTTCTTGAGCCATATATTTTGGAGTACCAACCCCTTTTGTGAAAGTCATGTTTGTCATCAACATGTTGATGTTTCTTGATGATCCAAAGTCAGTCAACTTGCCATTAGCTTTGATGTTCTTTTCGAGTGTAATCACAAGTATATTATCCGGCTTGATGTCTCTATGTAATATCCCATTCTCATGTAAATAAGCCACTCCTCTTCCACAGTCCAACATAAATTTGATTTTCATTTTTAAGTCAATTTCTTTTTCTTTGTAAATCATATCAGCCAAACTACCATGTTCTGCAAATTCCGTAACCATACAAATATGACTTGGGATGTAACACGCTCCATAGAAGTGGATAACAAAGTCGTTTCTGAATTTGTCTAACATCGAAACTTCCTTGTCAAATTCATCGAGTGCCTGTTTTGTCGTGTTCGCATTTTTTAATTTTTTAATTGCAACAATTTTCTCTTTAAAAAGTCCTTTGTAAACAATACCAAAACTGCCTTCTCCTATTTTCTTTGTTTCTTCTAATTCTCTGTAATTCAGTTTTGTTGACTTCTTTGTTTTGGCGGAGACTTTGATTTTTTCGTTTGTTTGTTTACAAGTGTGGATGTCGAGTGCAATGACCATAATATCTTCATCGATCACGCATGAACATAACGGCTTGATATATATCTCAAATTCACACGCTTCACCTCGCTTTAAATTAACAAGAGGTGGAACACTTCTTATTTCATAATAATCACACCCTTCTATAACACTGAATTGCACTTTTATATCGTGTTTCGACGTATTTCCAATACATATCAAGTCTCTTGTCTCGGCATCAACGTCTATAGGCGTGTCTTCGGTGTTTTCCAAATCAAATTTAATCACTTTTTTATTGCAACACAAGTCGCACGTTTCATTGTTTAATTGAATCATTTCAACATTTGAACGTTTCATTGGGAATACACAAATGTTTCTCATCTTCACTTCTTCTTGCTTTTTCATTAATAAAAAGTAGATCAAGACAATGATAATGGAAACTATTAATATCAACACAACTACAAGTGAAAGTGGAACTCCAATGACAACTCCTAAGTAAACTGAATCCAAACATTCATCACCATCGGTTGATGGTTCATGTCTACCACTGCATTGAATACACTTCGAATTTGAAGCTGACATACAAAACTCGATTTTTGAATAGTGTGTACACCGGGAGTTGATTAAAACAAATTCATCAGATGAACATTTCTCACAAAAGTCATAATTTTGACATTCAGAACAATTTGAAGAACATGAGTGACACATATAATTTTGTAAATAATACCCCTTTGAACACATAACACAACCTATCGCGGTTTTGTTCTCACAGTTTATCAAATTATCAAAAGGAAGACACAACTTGGTTTCACTGTTGACAATCTTGTAATACGACTCATTGCATACTAAACACGAAACACTGTCAAGACATGTTGAACACGATGCATCACATGTCGTACAATCTTTTTCTTGTTTATAAAACCCATCATTGCAAATAGCACACCCCCCTCCTGTTGGAAGTGTTAAATAACACTTTGAAGTCAACTCTCCAAGACTTTCACACGTTTTTGAAGAAGATAGATAATACCCATTTTTACAAGAAATACAATATGTTGTATTGTAACAACTTTCACAATTTGATGAACACTGCACACAATTAATATTGGTATGTTCTAGATAATACCCAAATGAACATCGTTGACATCCTTTATTTGTTCTATCCAGACAACTTGTTTCAATTACACTCTTTCTATGTGTCATCTTTTTATCTTCTAAATTGTAATTGATATTCGTTTCGTTTGTATTTTTTACGAATTGTTCAGTAAAGTTTTGATTTGTTGATAACAAATTCATTTGTTTTTCAGAATTGTGAAATACTATTTTTGATGATATCAAATTTTCTTCAAAAAACTCTGCACACACTCCATTTCTCTGTTTAAAAGAATCAAGACATTCCACACATTTTCTTGTTTGCAACGTTGCATGTTTACAATTTGGTATTGATGTGGATACAAGAGGAAGACAAAAAGAGTATTTTCCTTCGATATTTTTACTGTCAACTTGATAAAAGCCATTGTTACATTGAACACACCCAAAATGACTTGATCGAACACAACTCACATCACTTTTTAATACACACTTGTTTAATGAAGTCATCAAATAATTTTCAGAACAACGTTTGCATAAACCACCTTCACAAAGTGCACAATTGTCATGTGTACATTGTTGACATTTTCCTTTGTATATTTCCGTGTTGGGTTGAATACATTTTGAACAAAACCCATTGAGTGTGGTGTTACATATAACATCCTGTAAGCAAGTTTTGTTTTCAACATTATAAATCGAATTTTGTTTACACGAAAGTGCGTAAACCGTATTGTTGTATAGAGAACAAATTGAAGTGTATTGATCACATTTTTCGCAAATATTTTGTGTAGTCAAATGTTTATTTTCTCCACAGGAATACCTCTTATCATTGCGGATATACTCTCCATTTGTGATTGTGATACAGCCACTGTCTGTCATTATATTATTATCTTCACATACCAAACACGTTGAACCTATATTTGTCACTTTCTGGTATTTACATTTAGCGGCATTGTCTTTACAATCAGAATTGATTGAAATTTGGTCGAAACAGTCGCATGACACAAGTGATAATTGTGATGGGCGCTGACATTTTGAAGTGCTTTGGCATTTTCCGTTCAACAAAAAGTTATCACTTGAACACTTTAAGCATTTCTCTATACTTATTTCAGTTGTACAGTTTATCATGTTTTTAAGACAACTTTTTGTTATATTGTTAAAATAATTAAAATTTCCACACAACTCACATCGTCTTGTATTTACATTTAACGAATATGGTGCAAAACATGATGTGCAAATTGGCACATTTACTGATGTTATGGTACATATTTGACAATTTGGTATCCCATTGTAACACAACTCACAAGACGTTTCCGTGTTTTTGTATGTTCCTACTGGACAACTTTGGCAAATTAGGTTATTTAGATAATATGGGTCTGCACACCTGGAACAATACTTTGAAGAAGAATTACATGTGTTACAATTAGTATCGATTGTATTGCATGGAACACAGATATGGTTCACATCTGGGTAATACCCATTCTCACACTCACTACACTTCCTTGTGAAATCAGACGAACATATTTTGCAGTTCATATCAAACGTTTTGCAAGACACACATGTGTTTCCTCGGGGTTGTGTGAATACATAATTAAAATTACATCCCCTACAATACCCATCAGTATTTCCACAATTACCAGTACAACTTGTGTCACACAAACGACACGTTTTCAAGTGCGGATCGGGATAATATGAATACGAATTACATGACGTACATTCTCTTTGGTTGTTGATGTTGCAAGTAGCACAATTTATGTCGAAAGAGTCACACTTTTCACAAATTGATTTGTTTGATGAGGAAAAAACGTAATTATTTAAGCAACCAGTGCAATAACCAGTCTCTCCATCACATTTACCACCACATGAAATATCACAACTCTGACATCGATAATCACCAATTGTCTTTGGGAAAAAATTTGATTTACAAACATCACATTTTCTCTGTGAAGTTAAAGAACATGTTAAACAGTTTGAGTCAAAATCGGTGCAGTTTTGGCATTTAATGTTGCTTGTTTCGTACAATACATAACCAGAGACACAGGATGTACAAATACCAGTAGTAGTACTGCATCTATCTGTACACGATGAATCACACAACACACACTGTCCACTTAAATTGGGGTAATACCCATTCATACACTCGACACATTTTCTTGAAAAGTCTGTTGCACAAATCTTACAATGTGGATCAAAAACAGAACAACTCTGACATTGCAATTGGTCTTTGTTGGGATAAAATACATGATTGTTAGAACATGAAGTGCAATACCCATTCATTGGATTACATTGATTATTACAAGTCTCATCGCAGAGTTGACATTTAAATGTTTGAGTGTTTGGGTAATAATTATTGTTACATGTCACACATTTACGTGAAGCATCAGACGCACACACGGCACAATTGATATCAAATATATGACACTCTTCACACTTTGACGGATCATTTAATTTCATAACATAATTGTTTGCACAACTTGTACATATCCCATTTTGTCCATTACAGTTTTTACATTCAGTTGGACACGGCACACATTTAAATGTTGTTGTATCGACGTATGTGTAATTTGTACAAGTGTTGCACTTTCTCTCACCAGATGACTCACAAATGTCACAATTGTTATCAAGTGTTTTGCATTCAACACATTGTTTGGGGTTAGTTTCAGATTTAATAAAATTCTGAATACATCCAGTACAATACCCACTGTTTGTATCACATCGGTTATTACATGTACTGTCACATTTTTGACAAAGACCATTTACAATGTAAAACCCTGCGTTGCATTTTATACATTTTCGAGAATAGTCTGTCGCACAAGCACTACAATTTGCGTCGAAAGCAGAACAACTTTGACATGTTAAACTGCTTGTTGAATACATAACATAATTATTCTCACACCCCGTACACATCCCATTGTGTTGATCACATTTTCCACCACACGTTAAATCACAATTTCCACACCTTCCATTGGAAAGGACATATTTGCCTGTTGTACATATTGAACAGATTCTTTCAGGAGAGTTTAAACAACTCAAACAACTTGAATCGAAGGAACTACAATTTACACAAAGGATTGATTTTGGTTCGGTGTAAACATATTGTGTTAAACATGATGTGCATATTCCATTTAATGTGTTGCAACGTCCACCACATGTTTGGTCACAACTTTTACATATGCCATTTGTATCAGGGTAGTAATTAACGTCACACTGAATACATCTTTGATCAAACGAAGATGAACACATGTTACAATGAATGTCAAAGGCTTTGCACCGAATACACGTTTTACTGGGTGGATTGGTAAAAACATAGTTTGTTTCACACACAGAACATATACCTGATGCTGAGTCACACTGAGCACAGTTGTTTGTCGTACATGATACACATGTTCCACTCTCGTTGGGGTAATATCCATTCCCACACATGATACACTTTCGTGTGTAATCAGACGAACACAAATTGCAGTTTGTATCAAATGTTTTGCAAGGCACACACAATTTTCCCGGGGGTTGTGTAAATACATAGTTATTCATACACTTCTCGCAATACCCTGTCGTTTGGCTACAATACCCGTCACATGTTGAACTGCATGATGTACATGTTTTATTTGTTTCATCGGGGTACATTCCTTGTGTTCGACATGTTGTACACTCCCGTTTCCCGGTGCTGCAAGTCATGCAATTGACATCGAAAACTGAGCATTGAATACAGTATTGGGTTGGTACTAATGTTGGAACATGATTAGTTATACATCCAGTGCAAACACCAGTCACTCCATTGCACATCCCACCACACGACGTGTCGCAATCCTGACATTTGTATTCACCGGATGTCATTGGATACTTCCCATTTAAACATTCAACGCATTTCCTTGAAAAATCGGGAGAACATGTGTTACAATTAATATCAAGTTGGCTACAATTTTCGCACCGTGTTGATAATTGAGATGTTACAATATAATTGGTGATACATTGTGACATATTCCAGTTGATATATCACATGTGTTGGGTTGGCACGTCGAATCACAACTAACACACGTTTTATTTGTATCCAATCTATACCCAACTTTGCATTTTAAGCAAATTCGTTGTCCACTGTTGCCACAATCATCACAATGTTCGTCAAATACAGAACAATTCACACAAGTTATTGTTGATGGTGATGTCACAACATAATTGTTTGTACAACTGAAGCAAAGACCAGATAATTGGTCACATTTATCATTTCCATTGCATGACGGATCACATTCAACACACGTACCAGCTGTTGAAGGGTAATACCCAAAAACACATTTTTTGCATTTTCGTTGTGTTGCTAATTCACATGTAATACACTTCGAATCAAATTGCGAACACGAAATACACCCTTTCGAAGTCGTATCAATCGAAGGAACATATCCACTTTTACATAATATACAACTTCCAGTTATACTACAACGTGAACACGTGTTATCACACATTTTACATTTATTTCCATCCAAATATGATGAGTTAGGGGTACATGATATACATCCACGACTTGTTGTCGAACAGGCAAGACAGTTTGAATCATAGTCAGTACATTTCTGACATTTAGTTGGTGTTTCTGAATTAATGGTATATTGATCAGATGAACAACTATAACAATTACCATATATAGTGTCACACCCATTTTGACAACTTGTATCACATGGAATACATTTGAATGGAGAAACAGTCGATGGGTAATACCCTTTTATACATATGATACACTTTCGCGATGTTGTTGAACATTCAAAACAATTGGAATCAAATGCTGAGCAAGCCTCACAACTGACGCTTCCAGTGCTATTCTTTAATACAAATTTATCATTTACACATTGTTTACATACCCCCGTGTGTACATCACAACTATTAGACTCACATGTTAAATCACAAGAAATACACTTCCCAGTGGAAGGGTCGGGGTAATACCCATCTCTACAATTATAACAACTTCTGGAACCTCCACCTTCACAGTCGACACAATTAAAATCAAAAATTTGGCAACTCTCACAAACACGAGATATGGGATCGGTAACGACATAATTAATTTGACATTTGGTGCAATATCCAGTTGTTGTATTACATCCATTACATGTGGGTGAACATTGGGAACAAATTTTATTATCAAGATAATAATTGACGTCACACCTATAACACTTATATTCCGTTTGACTGCAAAAGAGGCATCCAACTATGTCAGAACAATCAACACATTCCCCATTAGAATTGGGCATTCCAGGATAATTACAATCAATGCAAATATCTGGATTTGTGTATTCACTCCTTATACAAGAATGGGTTGCATCAGCATATTTGTATAATCTACATACTGAAGTTTCGGGAGTTTCACCATTTAATGCATATTTGTATTCACAATGAGTACACCTCCCTCTCGTCGAAACATTGGTAGATAAACATGTCCCTACTAAACAGTTGTTAACACAACATTTATTGCTATTTATTGTAGTTGTATAGTTGTTATATTGTTCACAGACTACAGAACATAGATTATAGTCAGATGAATCACAGTAATATGCATCCAAAAGTAAGCAAAATTTTAACGTGTATCCATCTTGACATCGCGAACACCAAGCAATATCAGTACCAGATCCAATACAAACTTGACAATGTGATGTTTTTCCACAATTGTCCGTGTCGTGTTTTTGTGTTAAAGATGACGACTTAAACGGCAAAATAACAATCGACTTGTTATAAACATTTTCATATGACATTTCTTTGTTTGTAATTTCTACATCAGTCTTATTAAGAACAAGGTCAATTCGGTTCACTAAATTTCCAACTTCAATTTTTAAAAACTTTGTCTGGAAACATTTTACAGTGACATTACCTTTTGTATTTAATACAAGGATATCTTCTTTAATAGTAATATTATTTGATGTGTCGGCTCGACATCTTTCATTATTATTTGTGCAAAAAACAACGTTTTCGTATTCAAAGCACCATCGTATACCTAAAGTAACACAAAGAAAAAAAGTTAGTAGAACTCCTTTCTTCATTTGTATATAATTTGTAAAGATTTTTTTTAAATTGAAAATCAAATTATGAAAAAAACGAAAAATTCATAAATATATTATATATTAACTAAATATTTCATTGTTTTTAAAAAAAAATATTTAAACCTATTTTAATTTTAATCGTATTTTATATCGAATTTACCACAAAAACGATAATATAATTAAATTGAAAATATTTATAGTTAAAATAAATAAAAAGTTTTTATAATAAAAAAAAACTACAATTTATTTTTTTTTATGAATTTAATTTAAATTAATTAAATAGTTTCATCAATAATTATACAGTAAAACCTCCCAAGAGCGGGAGGGCGTGGGAATTTTGTTCTCTCAAGAGCGGGCATTTTTAGCCAATCAAACCTCAATTACCGCTCGATAGAGAACTCTATTTTTAGTTTCAGTCTAAAAAATGCCCGCTCTTGAGAGAACCCGCTCTTTGGAGGTTTTACTGTATTATTTAATATCAATAAATATCAAATCAAAAAAATACGATTATTTTGTTGTTATAGTTTCTTTATATTTAATTGTTATTTTTATAATTAACACCTAAAATAACATTAAACAAAATTCTAGCAGTCAAAATATTGAGAAATTACTAGTTTATTAAATAAATTATCAGTTTTTTAAAGTTCATATTTTGTACAAATCTTTACACATCTAAAAAGACAAAAAATCACCAAAAATTGAATTTATATCCCAATAATAACAAATCATTTAAAAAACAGGGGTGGTATTTTATGTGTTAATAAAATATATATGTTTACTGTTGTGTGTTGTCATATTAAAATAAGGCAATATTCAAGAAAATGATTATATAAAATATCTCGCTTATATGTGATTATTACCAATATTGATTGAAATTAAGGATATCGACATAGTTACACAATGAAATTGATAATAATAGTTTTTTTTGATTATCTTAGTTCTAACGAAATGTCAAACTAATTACACGAAAGTTACAATTAACATCAGAAAATAATAATGTTAATAACAGTTGTTATTCAACTGTAAATTACATTTAACATATACGTTTTTATTTAAAATATTGTATTTTTTTATTATTTTTATTATAATGTTTAATCATGTTGACAACTTTGTTATGTGAATAATTGAAAGCACCGTCTTTTAAAAAGTAAAATAAATTTGGTATCAATTGTATAATCGTTTATTTTATATATTTTTAATATAAAAGATTTTTATAAATTGTTATATTAATCAAAAGAAAACACAAAAGTATTATTTTATTTTTTTGTATTTTTTAAATGACTTGGAGTCTGATAATTAGAATTATTAATACAACTATAATTATAATAATTATTGATTATTCCAACGTTTTTTTATTCATTATAATGTAAAATTATATGTAAAATATTAAGTTTGATTAATGAGTGTGATGATGATTAATTATAATATAATAATTAATATTTTATTTAAACAGACTATTTAATAATTTAACAACCAAACAAATAATACAAATTTATAATTAATTTTACTTAAATTTTTCGTCTTTAACTTACAAAAATATGTGTTGAATTCGTATCATAATATTATATGTACCCATTTGTAAAAATCAATTATATGTTGACATTTTGAACAATAAAAATTAAATACCATTAAATCAATTGTAAACATTATTACCGGCCGTTCCGATAATAGCAAACCAGATTATGAGGTAAAGTATTACCACCACAACAGCAATAACGGTTGATATTATTGAGATTATGAAAAATACCAATGAAATGATACCAAACATTCTGGCTGTAGCATTTCCAGAGTTTTTAAACTTACAGAATGCAACTATCCAAATGCAATAACAAAAGAATCCAAGTATAAAGAAAATAAGTGAGGACGTTGTGTCCGCTTCATCGGTATTCTGTGAAGATTGGTTGTACACCGGGTTCATTTCTTGTTCTTGTCCAGACATCCAAATTTGATATTTTACAGTATTTTGAATAACTTATATATCGAAAAAAACACTTTGTCATAATAAATTACATTTTTAGGCTTGAATGTTTTTATTAGTGTAATTAAAATCATTAGTTTTTGTTTCATAAATGCGTGTATATGGATTCATAAAATTTAAATAAAGAGGTATTAAAATATTCGAATATATCATTTAAAAAAACAACGTTTCTTTTATATATTTATTTATTTATTTGTTATATTTGTTATTTTTAAATAAAAATTGTTTTGAATTTCAAATTTTTTATTTTTGTTTGTTAATTCAAATTGTTAATTTATCTATATGTATAATAAAATTATTATATAACCTATAGTTCATGAAATTAACGAACAATACTTTTATTGGAATATGTTCGAATAATTTGAAAGAGGATTTCAAAAACAAAGAGGTAAAAGTGCCTCATTATGATAAAATATTGGGTCAAACACGATTCTTTATATTTCTTTGTTGTTTTAAAATTAAATTTTTAACAAATGTTAAAAATGTACCTTTATTGTTACCCAAAACATCTAACAATTAATTATTAAAAACATTATTATAGAATTAACAACAATAATAAATATCTTTAACAATAAAAACAAAAAATCAAATAATAATATGTACTGTTTTTCTTAAAAAAGTAGCGCAATGACCTCAGAATTAACAAAAAAGTTTCCAAATTAATTGTTTTTAATAAGAGTTAGTTTTTCAATGTTGTTCTTTTTTCAAAAATATACATAACAACCCCCTTTAAATTGGGAATTGGGTAAAAATTAATCAAAAAATAAAAAACTAAACCAACTATTTTTTTAATTTCTTAAAAATTCCCGATTCATTTAAGTAATCAATATTTCAAACTTAGCGACATGATTGGAGAAAAGACAACGTTGAAGAATCACTGTACATTTCTTCAAAAGGTGTTTTCTTTTTATATTGACAACAAAAAATAATAGTTTATATAAAATAAATAGAGTTAGTATTTTAACGTTATCTGGCGGACAAAAAATAGCTTTAAATTTGTTTAAAAATCGGACATTAGATAAAGCGTAAAAAACCGAAACAATTGGGATGGGTTTTTGGGACCGCTTACCGAAATATTACAATTTTTATGGTCCAAAAGGTACCAGACAACGTTTTAAGACTGGCTATATACAGTTTTTAAAATGTACGTTTATTTTATTATGTTTTAAAAACACAACTACAGTAGAAATTCTATCTGTGTGTGATTCCATTCGTGTGTGACTCTATTGGTGTGTGATTTTGACCAATCAAAAGTGGCCTACACATTGATGGAATATAATTATTTCCCACATATTTGGCACCAAAACCCACAAAAATAATGTCCATTAAAATTTCTTTTTATTTTAAAGGAGTAAAAACTTGGTAATAAAAACTTAAAAAAAGAAAAATAATAAAACAAAAATAAATCAAAAAAGATAAGAAAAGCAGAAAATACTCCTGTCAAAATATTAAACTTAAAATAATAATAAAAATGAACCGATTTTCACACACCAATCACAAGAGCACGCTTGTGATTGGTGTGATGACAGAATTGATTCCACAAAACTTAACAATTTCAGCAAGGAAGTCACAGATATTTTCGACACGTGCAGACAACCAACCAGGCGTGCTCATCCAAGTCTTTGAAGGCGAGGCATCAATGACATCACATTGCAACCTGCTTGGAAAGTTTGATTTGTTTGGTATCTTACTCGCACCACATGGAGTCTCATAGTTGAAGTCGCATTTGACATTGATGCAAATGGGATTCTGAATGTGTCGGCTGAAAACGAAACAACAGGAAAGAAGACTCTCAAAGGAATAGGTGGACAAGATGGTTGCAGACGCAAAAGGGTTCAAGGCGGAGGACGACAAGATAATGACTTTTAAAGTTAAAAATCGACACTCAACTTCAACTACTATGTAATTACACAGTGAACGAGCAATTTTTTTCAAGGTTATCAACAGAAAACAATGCAGCAATCGAGGCTGATGTCAAAGAGGTACTTGAGTTGTAAATTGACAAGAACCAATCCGCACCAAAAGTCCATGTGTTTATACAAAAACACAATGCGTTGTTTTTATTCTAAACAATAAAAAAATTTAAAAAATTCACAATATTATTTTATGTTTACACATGTCGTGTTTTTTTTAAAAAAAACAAAAAATACGTTTTGTCATTTTTCTTGATTGTGGATAGTTTTACAAATTTCATGATTTTTTAGTTTTTTTGCCAGAAATTAAAAAAGAAAAGAAAAAAATTACACACTTTGGGAAAACCATTTTCATGACTCCACACACCGATAGAATTTTTACTGTACTATTCGATGATAATAAAAAAAGTTATAAAGCAATTTGATTTGAGTAATTTCATTAAACTATATTTTAAGAAAAGTATGGTTAATAACAAATTTTATTTTAATAAGTTAAATTATTATTCAATCGTTATTAAACATTTCCTATATTCCATAATATCATTAATTGTAATTAATAGTTTGATATTGTATAATATAAATAATATATTTATTAACCATTTATTTGGATACTATACATTTTAAAATGTTATAGTTTTGTTGTTAATTGTCGTTTTAAGTAGAAAAACGACCGCGGCAAAAAGTTTCCATCTGTAAAGAAAAGGTTTTGGAGATAGCAAAAACAAACATAACTATGAATTTTACTAAAACTACTTTATTTTTGTCATAAAAACAAAGAAAATATGCCCCTTTCATTTAAAATGTATTTTGGGACAAGTTCCAAATTTTTCCCTGTTCCGTAATAAACTTCAAATTAACTTAATATTTAAAAATTTTTATCGTTTTAAATTAATACAATTGATCACTTATTTGTTTTAAAATGGGATATTAAAATATACTATTTCTATTTATATATGCAATTGCGGACGAAACACGACACTCCTCAAAAGTTAAACAATCATTGAACAATTAAACTTGAGATTTGAAAAAAAGTAAAGTTTAAACCATTTTTAAAATAAAATACAGTATAATCCGGGTTTAATTCACTTAAAATATTTTGGAATTATCGGGTTTAATTCCACCTTTTTCAAGAAAATTATTAAATGATTTTTAAAACAAAAATAGTTGATGGAATTAACTTTCAGTAGTTTCATAGTTATAATTATTTAATAATTATTTGATTCAATCAAAAACAAATGGTAATGGTAAAGGCTTTTTCACATCCTCTAAAAATAAAGTTTTTTTTAACAATTTAATATAATATTTTAATTAAAATTATAGTAAATGGGAGCTTGGGATAATATTTGGTCTGGTTCCCGAATTAAAAATGTGTCGATAATTCAACTCGAAACAGTGGAAACCGAGTGAGACAAATATCGAAAAGAAGGCACAGGCGGTCTGTTTGTGCACCCGTTCCACACACTTTCAATGTCCTCCTTGGCACAGATCCCAATGAACGCCCCGTTTGAAAAGGGAACCACATCAGCGTTCAAACAGTACGGAGGAAGAAAGTGGGTGACATGGGGACCCACAAACAGTGACTTAAAGATGGACTTCTTTCAAAAAACACTCGCGGCAAATACTTTGTTAATGTGGTGGTGAAACAAGTGTGTTAAAATAAATAAAAACGAATAAAAACTTTAGTTTATTATGTTCTTTTTTATTTATTTATTATTTTATAATAAGTAATTTATAATATTATAGTACCGAAAAATAGTTTCAGAAACAAAAATAATGCATTTTTATTCAAAAACAAATATTCTGATTAATTTAGGTGAAATCCAATTATTTTACATAAATTTAAACAAAAATACAAGATTATGATAATAAAACTCAAAATTGTAGTTTTTATTATTTTTTCTTACTTCGGGTTTAATTATTTTGAATGAATTTAACCCGATTATTTAATTAAACCCGGACTGGAATTAAACCCGGATTATACTGTATAATATTTTAAATTCTGAATCTGATAATTATTCGTGTTCATTTATTTGCTCTCTATTGTTTTGGGTTTTACCAAATATGCTGTTTCAATTGAAAATACAAAAACCATTGTTGTGTAATTGGGACAGTGTTATAACATCAGTGTTTATATAAAAATAGAAAAAGATGGTAAAGGTATTTGGGCTTTTGAATCAAATGTTTGTGGCAATAGGGTAGACAAAAGAAAAAATCATTAATACCGACAACACACATTGAAAAAGATTTGCCTCAATATAATTACGTTATCTATGATTCCAAGGACGTGAATAATTGCTATATTCTAAAAATTGATAATATGTTAGAAACTATTTATTGAGAATGTCAAAAAATACTTGGTTCTGGAAATCATGAAATTGAATATGGAATAATATCAAGAACATATTACTTAACAACTTCAAATTGTTCTGGTATCAGTGAAGCTAAAAACAAGAATGCGTTGAATAAATATTCCTTACTTGTCAATTAAAAGATAATTCATATTAAAGGCGCTTATATTTTTTGCCTTTTCGGCTCTTTTCTTTGTTTGCTTGTTTTAAGTTATTTTTAATTTATTTTACTTTTTTTTATAATACCCCGAATTATGATATTAAAAAATCTTCACATTTTTTAAATATTTTAATGTTTCTTAATTTTAGAAATTTGTTTTATTGTAATTTCAACAGAAATAAAAAATCATGAATATGTTTTATATTTTGTAAATAAAAGTAATTTATTTAATTCATAACACAAAACGTTGATTCAGTTTAACCAAAACGATTATTGAATATCACATTCAAAATATAAAATTCAAACATCTTTTAAATTAAAATGTTACATGTTTTAAATTATTAATAGTTGTAATCAGTAGAACATTACAACTATTTAAAATTGCTGTAATAACAATAAAACACAAATTATAAATAAAAAAGTCAATAAAAATCATTTTTTTTTATTTTTTATTATTTTTCAAACAAACAATTTCATTTTTTATAAATACATGTTCATTTCGTTAATTTATATATTTGAAATTATCAATATTGTATTATA